TAAGTGTTTATTCTATTGACAAACTTACTGTTCTTTCTGTTATTTTCTTACTGTGTATGATTTATTGTTAACAAATTATATTTAAATATTGTGTGTACCGCATCTACGAATACTAGAGTAGTTAAAAAATACTTTTTTAACAATGACAGTCATTAGTTGATCATTAGTGAATGTGATTCTGTTTACTTAAATTACAGGAAGACAAGAGCAGAAGGAAGAAATGGGATGATGGGAAGTAATGAAGCATTGTTATGTGAAGTTTGTTGGAACAAACATATTTTTAGTCAGGTGTAAATACTTTTAACATTTTGGTTCAAAATGACACAAAATCTAAAAAATATTAGATACATCATCGACATGGACGGATTTTACATTACATATCCTCATAAACATTTTCAAGGTAGAGAAATGGCTATTCTAGACGTAGAACTATCTAATAAAAATGATGCGTTTATCGATCATTATTTGTTTCGGCCAAGTTATCCTTCCCAGAGAACATCATCCCCATATTAAATTGGTATATTAGACATTTGTGCAAAGACGAAGTGATCGCATACAAAGGTGGTTCAACAGAAAAACAATTTTTAAAAATGTTGACGACGAATGATAGAATTTTTAATATTGAAGAATACAAATGTCCAAAATACAATGATTTGGTAAACGTTATAAATTTAAACAAATGTTATGTGTGTAATAATCATATATTTCAAAAAATAATCACAAAATTTTACATTATTCTTGTGACGAAGTGTGGGTTTTTTACAAGTGGTTATTGCTTGAAAATAAAATTTTCAATTAATCATAAATTTTGTTTGATTTCCCAAAAACATTAAGTTAAACATCAAGTTATAGTACACAATATATATTAATTGTTTACACCAACACTTTCATTTTTTATATAAGGGGTGAACCCTTAGAACTTTAGACATGTGTAATGTTTCACTTTATACATCCGTTTACTGCTATTGTGGCAGGACCAAGTGGATGTGCGATGTCAAATTTTGTAACAAATTTCATAAAATCAGTTACAGAAATATGTAATTGTGATTTTAATCAGATCACATGGCACTTTGATGAAATGCAACCTTTATATAATTTACCAAATGTTAACTATCATCAAGGAATTCCAAATCTTAATATGTTTGCTGGTGAAAACCCACATCTCGTTATTATTGATGATCTAATGAGAGAGTCAGATGGAAGAATTGTGGATATATTTACAAAAGGTAGTCATCACAGGAACCTCAGTGTATTTTATTTAACACAATTTTTTTTTCATCAGGGTAAATGGCAAAGAGACATATCTTTAAACTCAAGTTATATAATATATTTTAAAATCCCTCGAGATAAAACTCAAATAAGATATTTAGCACGACAAGTGTCACCAGATAACCCAAAATTCATTGAAGATGCCTACAGTGATGCAAATCTAGAGGCACATGGATATTTAATGGTAGATTTAAAACAGAATACCAATGATTTTTGTCGTATCAAGACAAATGTCTTCCCATTTAAGGGTTTCTGTACCGTATAAGTCCCCACAAAAGAGTTTAAATACACCAAGAATCAAACAATTCAAATCAATGCTAAATGATGCATCGTCGACTCACAACGCATAAACATTTGCTAAACGCTTTGCATACGCTTAAACCAAAATATTAAAGAGCATTACTTAAAACGTGTGATGAAGAAGAAATTAACTGTATTTGTGAGTGTATTCATAACGTTTTACAAGGAAAAGTACCTCTTAAAGGTCAAGATAAACAAAAATTGAATAAACACAAAAATATACTCCGTAAACTAGTGCGTAAGTGTAAACATAAACTAAGAAAAAATTATAATTGTACAAAAAGGAGGGGCTTTCTTACCAATAATATTACGTGCAATATTGAGTGGATTAGTGAGTGGACTAGCCAGTTAACATGGAAAATGCAAAGAAAATGATACTTATTGAACCTGGATTGATTGAAAAATTAAAACAAGAAAATAAGGTTAATAGTAATTTATCTCGATTAGATATTGAAATGCAAAATATTATGAATAGTAAGACGGAAGACCGAAAGAAATGGATGTTATATTTACAAACACTGCAAAGATACCTTCCTTTTATCGATGAGGATCGCCAACCACTCAGATTACCAATTTATTCTGATACATCTAATGAAGATTCAAATGAGTCTAAAATTGGTTTTAAAAATAAAGATAGAGATCTAAAAACTTCAGTTGATGCTGAATCTTTGTTGGATGAGAATCGATTCATTAAAAGTAAAGAAAATGACGAAATCCACTTTACACACCAGATCAAATACTCAGTTTAATACCAAAAACTTATAATAAAAAGGGACAGTTATTATTAAACTTAGTTGAAACAAGTAAATGTAAAATACGTTGGGATAATTAAGGTACAGTCATAATTGACAATGAAAAAATTCCTGGAAGTAATATTGTTGATTTAATAAATGATTCACTAAGACCCTTAAAAAGAAGTGATCCAGTAGGCTGGGATAGATTTGCTGAAGCGTTAAAAGATATGAAAGTACCACTTACTTATATTGGAAATCCAAAGAGATGTGAGTTTATTAACCAACTTCAAGCAAACGATCTGAACAAACCCTCTGAGATTGAAGTTTAAGAGTTTTTTACACCAAGTAGAGGAGATACAAAATCTATAACTAAAATATAGTTTTCTACACCGAGGGGGGCTTTTTCTTCCCGGTGGTTTTGGTGTTTGATAATTATCAAAAGCTATGAGGGTAAAATAAAAAAAGTAGAGTGGTTAAAAAACCATTCGAAAAAAAATTCCCGCGTAATAGGTACATTCTATCAAATATTAATGAACTGTGGCAAGCTGATTTAAGTGATATGCGAACTTATTCTCAATATAATGATGGTTTCAAGTATATACTTTGTGTTATTGATGTATTTAGTAAATATGCTTTTGCAAGACCAATGAAAATTCAGAAACAACTAAAGAATGTTTTGAAAGTATATTTACTGAAAGTAATTTAACTCCTACTCACATACAATCTGATAAAGGTACAGAATTTGTTTCAAAAGACGTACAAAAATACTTTAAATCCAAAAAGATTAATTACTATACCACTAACAATCCTGACATTAAGGCCAGTATGGTTGAACGATTTCAAAGAACACTAAAAATTAAAATGTGGCGTTATTTCACTCATAATAATACTTATAGATATATAGATGTTTTACAAGATTTAATATACTCTTATAATCACAGCTTTCACTCTAGTATTAAGATGTGCCCATGTGATGAAAATTCCAACAATATTATGAAAATTCCAACAATATTATGACAGTTTGGACTAATCTTTATGATAGACGGTCAAACAAACTTTCTTTAGAAAATCCTAAACCAAATTTCAATGTGGGTGATTATGTTTGAATAACTAAATATAAACATGTTTTCCAAAAAGGATATGAATCAAATTGGAGTGATGAAATATTTATTATATCTTCAATAATTGATAGATCTCCATGGGTTGTTTATACAATAACAGATTTACAAAATGAACCAATAGTTGGTACTTTTTATGAAAGAGAATTACAGAAAATCACTTACAACCCCACCTCACAATATAAAATAGTTAAAATAATTGACACTCGTTATTTAGGTAACAGAAAAGAAGTATTAGTGAAGTGAAAAGGTTATCCACATAAATTTAACAGTTGGATTTTAGCTTCTAGTTTAAAAGAAATATGAATAAAGGAAAGTTTTTATTTAACTTTGCTCAGCATTAGTTCAATGGAATACTTTCCTGATAACAAGACCACAAATTTTTCAACGAAATTACCAAAAGCTATTAAATTAGAAGGCGAATGGTCGGTTGGAGTTGTCGAGTTTCAATATCCATGTACCATGTTTACTGTTCAAGATATAAATAATAACTATCGTTGTGTATATTAGTACAGTAAAATGAAATGCTCAGCATGTGAACATTCTGTCGATCGAAATGAATTATTGCGATGCATTTTATGTAAAGGAACCTATCATTATTTGTGCCTTAATATTACATCTGCAAAATTTATGGCTAACTATCAAAAATTTAAAAGATCATGGAAATGTCCTACTTGTACCAAAGTTACGTAACGACGATCCAAAAACGACGAAACACCGGTAAAAATTAACTGTGGGGATTCATCACCATCTGATGTCATTAACATGTCTAGTGATAACATACAAGTAAATGAACTGCCGCCTTCGGATTTTGAGCACCGTGGAGGTAGAAAACAAAATACTTCTACTTTTTCTTTAGAAGAATTAGGTAAATTGCTTGACGATAAATTGGACACTAAGTTACAAAACACTTGTCACTCATTAGTTTCGGAAATTAAGCAAGAATTTAATGAAGTTTTAATGAAGTTGGAAAGTACGTGGTAGAGCCATGCTGCAGTTATATTAGTAGTATAGTTGTAGCACGAATGGGTCGGCTCGACCGGGGAAGTACCACGCTCTCACAGAATACCAGCGTGAAATAGTAGCTTAATGCTGCTGTATTTCGTATGGTGAGTGTAGAGAACCGGAGACCCTTTTTACTGGAAACGAGGCATTCCATCTTAGTCCTCACGGGTGACAACGCATCTCCATTTTGATTCGTAATCGAGGATAGATGTGGATGTCTATGGGCCGTAGCAACCACTTACCACCAGGTGGACTGTGTGCTCGTTTGTCACCCTATCTTATAAAAAAAAAAAAAGTGAGTTTTTGAAAATAACCGAATCCCTAACAGATGAAATATGCGACATAAAAAGAGAAATAAGTACACTTCGCGAAAAAGTTCAAACACTTGAGCAAGAAAATATGTGTACGTAGAGTAGTAGAAAGTGAACAAAATAAGCTTTCAAACATTTCACGTACGGAGACCATCATAAAAGAATTAAAACAGGAAATAAATGACAAGGAACAGAAAGCGTTGCTCAATGACATTGAAATAGTTGGAATACTTGAAGTTTCAGGTGAAACCCCAGTGCATATAATGTCGACAGTTGCAAATAAGCTGGGAGTTACCTTAAATGATCATGACATAGTATTTGCGGAGCGTGTTGGTCGCCATTCGAGTAATCTACTTCGAGAGGTGCAAACAGGGAATCAAAACCGTATAGAGGCACGTCCCCTAGTTGTACATTTAGCACGCCGCATCACTCGTGACATCCTACTGAAAAATGCACGTGTGCGCCGTACGATCACCACTGTAGATCTAGGGTTACCTTATAAAGAAACAACCAAGTTTTATGTTAATGAGAGGCTAACGAAACCAAATCGTGTGCTATTTGCTAAAGCACGTGAAACGGCCCAAAAATTAAAATGGAAATTCGTGTGGACAAAAGATGGCCGAGTTTATGTCAAGAGAGGAGATTCTTTTAACGCTCCGGTACGCGTCATCTACTCAGAAGACGACTTTACGCGTATTTTTGGTGAGCCATATTCCAAATCAGTTAAATGATTATAAATTTATTTTGGTGGCCTTTGGGCTTCTAACGTTTTTGCTATTATTCGGTTTGTTGCATATTAGTTTTAATGTCAATTACACTTTCAATATCAACTTAGTTTTAGTACAGTTTGATTTCAATGTCGACTTAGTTCTAGTACAGTTTGATTACATATATTATTACATTCTATTATTAATTAATATTCCGTTAACAGTCAAAATATTAAAAAAAATATTTTTCTGTTAATATTAGAGATCTAATAATTGTGCCCTACTTTTTAAATTTTTATTCAATCTTCTGTCTATATTCTGCTAAACTGTGGAAACAATTTTTAATAATGTTTATATGTGTTGTTATTATTTTAATGTCGGTCAGTACAAGTTATAACTTATTGTTGTTGTTACTATTCGGTTTTTTGTGTGTTAGTTTTAATATTATTTATTTTTACAATGTCAATATAGTTTTAGTACAGTTTGATTACAAATATCATTACATTTATTTTTTAATATTCTGATAACAGTAAAAATATTCAAAAAATATTTTTATTTTAATATTAGGGATCTTATTGTGACCTACTTTTTTATTTAAATTCAATCTTTTATCTATATTCTCCTAAACTGTTAAAATCCTTTTTAATATTGTTTATACGTGTTGTTTTTATTTGGATGTTGGTCAGTACAAGTTATAACTTATTGTTGTTATTATTCGGTCTGTTGTATATTATTTTTAATATTCGTTATACTTTTAATGTCAACTTAGTTCTAGAACAGTTTGAATACAAATATTATTACATTTTATTACTTAATATTTTGATAACAGTAAAAATGTTAAAAAAAATATTTTGCTGTTAATATTAGGGATCTCATTGTGCCCTACTACTACTTTTTTATTTTAATTCATTCTTTTGTCTACAATCTGCTAAACTGTTGAAATCCTTTTTAATATTGTTTATACGCGTTGTTTTTATTTCGATGTTGGTTAGTACAAGTTACAACTTATTGTGTTTTTACTTTTTCCTATATTTTTTATTTAATTTGTTTCAAAATTTAAGACATTACATTATATTATATAACAATGGCTAGATATAAAAGTTTTAGAGTTAGTCTCTATAATGCTGGGTCAATAAGAAGCAAAATAGACGAGTTTCAGGTTGCCTTACAACGTGACTCTGCTGATATTATGGCAATTAACGAAACATGGCTGCAGGTGACGATGTGACGATGTAAGTGCCCCATTAGTTCCTGGATATAGCTTCCGTCATATTTCTCGATCGTGTAACATGTCAAGAACCAGGGGCGGAGGTGTAGGTTTCTATATTAGACGAGGGGTAAGTGCTCGTTCCTGTCCACATATTAACACTGAAGTTGAGCAACAATAGATATCGGTAACTATAAACAGGACTAGAATAAAATCATAGGTGTTATCCGTCCGCAAAACTTTTATTTATCACTGTTTAAGGAGGTATCATCGCGTCACTGTCCCTAAACTAATACGAAGCAATAAGAGAAAAGAACGATGTCCTGTTCCAAAACCGAAAAGTGCTGTGTTTAGAAGACATTTTGACTTTTTAGCCCCTAGGCTATATAATAAACTAAACAACTTTGAAGTGAAAAGCAAAATTACAGACTGGCTGAAATTTTTTGATTATGAAGGTACGGAGAGCCATCTTTCATTGGACATGTAAACAACACACGCTAGTATTAGCGTGTGTTGTTTACATGTCCAGTGTGTGTGTGTGTGTGTGTGTCTGTATAGAAACACACAAACACACACACACACACACACACACACACACACACACACACACACACACACACACACACACACACACACACACACACACACACACACAGATACACACACACGCACACACACACACACACACACACACACACACATTTGCAATAGTGCCAACATATTTTTCTTATCCCCCTTTTTACTGTCATAAATTTTACATTTTAAATAATACTTGTTAATATTATATAATAAATAAACATTATAAATATAATACATAGATAAACAAATTATAGAAATAGAACTAAGAATAGGGAAGGAAACTAGCCCCTGAAATACAGGTATTATATCCTAGTTTAGGGGCTAATGACCATTGTAAATCTTGTGCATGTAATATGTTTATCATTAAAGATTATTATTATTATGTGGGGTATTTATATAGTTTTCTCAACTGGTTGGTTTCTATAAATATATAATTATAAATTAAAATGAAAAGATAAATATACATAAATATTAATAAAATAAAATAAATACAAAAAATACACAAATAAATAAAGATCCAACCAGATGGAAGCCCTCGGCAGGGGAGACCAAACGGCCGAGGGTTAGGGGGAAAGGGAAAGAAACCGACGGACGATGCGGGCGGTATCGAGGACCACTGCCTTCTGCATTTGAGCCCGGAGCGGTCCGTCACGGAGTCCCAGTCGCCTCAGATGACCCGAGAGACTAACTGGGATTAGCCCATTCGCAGAGACGACTACAGGAATAATTTCGGTCGGCCAACCACCCCACATGTCGGTCACCTCGTGAGCCAGGTCCAGATATTTTGTTCGCTTATCTGTTTCGGCTTTCACGAGGTTCTCGTCATACGGAATGGTAATGTCGACCAAAAATATCCTTGACTGTGCCCGGTCCATCAGCACAATATCAGGCTTATTTGCAAGAATAGTCCTGTCTGTGATGATGGCCCGGTCCCAGTAGAGCCTGGCGCGGTCATTTTCGAGCACGGCTTCCGGCAAGTACTTATAATACGGCAATTTCCGGTCCACGAGACCGTATTTCAGAGCGAGCTCCTGGTGTAGAATTCTGGCTACTAGGTTGTGCCTGTGCAAGTACTCAGAGTTAGAAAGCGCCGAACAACCGGAGATGACATGCCTAAGTGACTCCCCGGGATGGCGACAAGCTCGACAGACGTCGACGGTGCCATCCTTTAGGATGTATCTCCGATAGTTGTTGGTCTTAATAACCTGATCCTGTATTGCACAGACAAAACCCTCGGTTTCCCCGAAGAGGTCACCGAAACGTAGCCAGTGGAGGGAGGCGACTGTATCTACGAAGGGCTCATGTAGAGCCCTGTAGTACCTCCCGTGGAGCTCCTTCTCCTTCCATACGGTCTCCCGGTCGGAAATGCTAAGCACTGCTGGGTCCTGCCATTGCTCGTTGGCCAAGGATAGAGGGGTAAGCCCTTTATCACTAGAAATGACGTCATTATAGAATGGATCATCCGATCTCGCCAGGAAGTAATGACGGAGGCTGCACACTTCACGATTATGCATAGTGAGCGCGCTCAGAAAGCCACGCCCACCATATTTTCGCGGCAAGTACAGCCTCATTACCGACGATATCGGATGATGCATCCTATGGGACGTCATGGTAGTGCGGACTTTTCTATCCAGGGCGTTAAGTTCAGTCTGAGTCCACCTGAGTATGCCAAAGGTATACATAAGGACAGGTATGACCCAACCGTTATATGCGTGTGTCTTATTCACACCGGACAAAAGGCTATTAAGCACTTTGGTCAAGCGTGCATAAAACACGTCGCAAACTGACTGTTTCATACCAGCCTCATCGATGCCGATGTTCTGTGACATACCCAGGTATCGGTATGTTTCAGCCTCGGAAAGGGTCATTAAGTTGACGGGCTTAGATAAATCTATGCCCTCAGAGTTAGCAACCCTTCCCGTCTCAACATGGAGGACCGCACACTTATCCGTCCCCAGCTCCATTCCAATGGAACTGCTAAACTCACAAGTGATTTTTAGCAATTCCATAAGATGGGAGCGACTGGAGGCGAATAACTTAAGGTCATCCATATAGAAAAGGTGGGTCACTTTTGTCCCTCCTTTCCGTAGCTGAAATCCTCTCCCGGATCCCTCCAGTAAGGTACTGAGAGGGTTCAGGGAGAGGCAGAACCAGATTGGACTCAGACAATCGCCCTGGAAGATACCCCTTCTTATCCTTATGTGGTTCTCCGCAGCCATCATCCGCTCACCCAGATGACAAAGGATCGTACTCCACTGCCCCATACACTGCTCGAGGAAGTCTCTCACTGTACAGTCTATCTTGTACAGCTCGAGGACTCTCTTTAGCCATGTATGGGGCACCGAGTCGAATGCCTTTCTGTAGTCTATCCAGGCAGCGGAGAAGTTCCGACGGTTGCGGTGCGGTGTTTCACCACTTTGCCAATGACCGCGTCAATGAGGAGTGGTTCCTTAGTCCGCCCCGACATCCATTTTGAGCGCGTGACATTATCTGATTTAGCTCCAGGTGACGAGTGATTCTCGCGCTCAAAATGGATGTCAGTGTCTTATTTATGGTGGGTAGACACGTAATGGGGCGGTATTTGCTCGGGTCTGTGGTAACCTGGTCTTTAGGAACCAAATGAGTGATCCCAGTAGTGAAGAGGCTAGAGAGCGACTTCTGGTTGAGAGTCTCTTGAAACTGACGGGCGAGCACAGCGTGACACACCATGAACCCCTTCAGCCAGTAGTGATGCAGTCCGTCGAGTCCCGGACTTTTCCAGTTCGGGGCTCCACGGACCGCCTCAGTTACGTCATCCGGCGTTATGATGACGGGGTTCATGGGCGTAATACTCGCACACTGACTCGCCACAACTTCCGTCCAAGGGCCGTCGCTGTAGTTTACGGGCTCTGACCACAGGCCACGCCAAAATGCGATAGTGTTAGCCTGGTCCGGTCCTGGGCCCGCTCCACATACCTCTGGTCGCTCCAATGATTTGTAGAGCCTCTTCTGATCACTCTGGAAGAGACGATTCTGGTTGAACCGCCTTGACCTCTCGGTAAATCGGCGAATCCGCTTCCCCCAAGCAGCAATCTTTTGCTTCAGGTCGTCTATGCGCTCCGTTAGTTTCTGCGTGATATCCGGCTGGGACAAACTGATATTTGTCCCAGCAAACGCCATTCTAACGGTGCGCACAACCCTCGGTCTATTATTACCCGACCTGAAGCTTATCAGTCTGCCGATAAGGGCCCTTCCCTTTACGATACGGTCCTCAATTCTTTTTCTCCAGGATGGGACGGCGCTACTTTGTTTAGTAGCGCGTCCAGTCATGGGAAGTTTGGCGCCAATAATACGGCAAGTTGCCACTGCGGCGCCAAAAAGAACTGAGTCCGTCTCGCAAAGGTCCCGGCTGGCTTCCAAATAGGTTACCAGCATTGGGTTAAGCTTAAGAGCCCTCACGACAGCCCGATCTCGCTTGCTTAGGGGTATGCGGGGAAGTCGCGGTCGATTTTCGAGAGGCGTGCTGCGCGTTTCCAAAATCGCCTCTTCCAATATACTCCTCATTTGCTCTAGTTCGTGGGAGACCATTTCATCATCGTCTGAATCAACCACAACTGGAAGATCCATGGCGGCTTCTACGCGTGGCAGCTGGTCTGTCGCCTGAGGATCCTCATCCCCAGCTGTAGCCAATTCATTCGATGAGGGAATGGCCTCACGTCGTAGTCGTTCGAGCTCGGCATCATTGAATATTTTCGAGTGCATGATGTACCGAACTCGATCTGCCAGGTTTTGTTCCGTGACGGGAATAGACGGCTCCAGCTCAGCAAAAAAGCAATGCATCCGACCCGATACGCTATCCCCGCAGTTTCTTCCCCTTTCGCCCTATAGTACGCCCGCAATGCGTTTGCGTTCATATCCCTTGTCCAACGCATGCGGCGCACTCCACCAGCGGCGGATGCCGCTTGCGGAGTGCGCCGCTGGTGGAGTACTTATTATTATTATTATTATTTTTTTTATAGTTTTCTCATCTGGTTGGGTGCTAAATAAAAGCCCAACCAGATGGAGGCCCTCGGCAGGGGAGACCAAACGGCCGAGGGTTAGGGGGAAAGGGAAAGAAACCGGCGGACGATGCGGGCGGTATCGAGGAGCACCGCCTTCTGCATTTGAACCTGGAGCGGTCCGCCACGTAGTCCCAGCCGCCTCAGATGACCCGAGAGGCTGACTGGGATTAGCCCGTTTGCAGAGACGACTACAGGAATAATTTCGGTCGGCAGACCACCCCACATGTCGGTCACCTCGTGAGCCAGGTCCAGATATTTTGTTTGCTTGTCTGTTTCGGCTTTCACGAGGTTCTCGTCATACGGAATGGTAATGTCGACCAAAAATATCCTTGACTGTGCCCGGTCCATCAGCACAATATCAGGCTTATTCGCAAGAATAGTCCTGTCTGTGATGATGGCACGGTCCCAATAGAGCCTGGCGCGATCATTTTCGAGCACGGCTTCCGGCAAGTACTTGTAATACGGCAATTTCCGATCCACGAGACCGTATTTCAGAGCGAGCTCCTGGTGTAGAATTCTGGCTACTAGGTTGTGCCTGTGCAAGTACTCAGAGTTAGAAAGCGCCGAACAACCGGAGATAACATGCCTAAGTGACTCACCGGGATGGCGACAAGCTCGACAGATGTCGACGGTGCCATCCTTTAGGATGTATCTCCGATAGTTGTTGGTCTTAATAACCTGATCCTGTATTGCACAGACAAAACCCTCGGTTTCCCCCGAAGAGATCACCAAAGCGTAGCCAGTGGAGGGAGGCTACTGTGTCTACGAAAGGCTCATGTAGAGCCTTGTAGAACCTCCCGTGGAGCTCCTTCTCCTTCCATACGGTCTCCCGGTCGGAAATGCTCTGCACTGCCGGGTCTTGCCATTGCTCGTTGGCTAAGGATAGAGGGGTAAGTCCTTTATCACAAGAAATGACGTCCTTATAGAATGGATCATCCGATCTCGCCAGGAAGTAATCACGGAGGCTGCACACTTCGCGATTATGCATGGTGAGCGCGCTCAAGAAGCCACGACCACCATGCTTCCGCGGCAAGTACAGCCTCATTACCGACGATCTCGGATGATGCATCCTATGGGACGTCATTGTAGTGCGGACTTTTCTATCCAGGGCGTTAAGTTCAGTCTGAGTCCACCTGAGTATGCCAAAGGTATACATGAGGACAGGCATGACCCAGCCCTTATATGCGTGTGCCTTATTCACACCGGACAAAAGGCTGTTAAGCACTTTGGTCAAGCGTGCATAAAACACGTCGCAAACTGACTGTTTCATACCAGTCTCATCGATACCGATGTTTTGTGACATACCCAGGTATCGGTATGTTTCAGCCTCGGAAAGGGTCCTTAAGTGACGGGCATAGATAAGTCTACGCCCTCAGAGTTAGCAACCCGTCCCCTTTCAACATGGAGGACCGCACACTTATCCGTTCCCAGCTCCATTCCAATAGAATTGCTAAATTCACAAGTGATGTTTAACAATTCCATAAGATGGGAGCGACTGGAGGCGAATAACTTGAGGTCATCCATATAGAAAAGGTGGGTCACTTTTGTCCCTCCTTTCCGTAGCTGAAATCCCCTCCCGGAGCCCTCCAGTAAGGTACTGAGAGGGTTCAGAGAGAGGCAGAACCAGATTGGACTCAGACAATCGCCCTGGAAGATACCCCTTCTTATCCTTATGTGGTTCTCCGCAGCCATCATCCGCTCGCCTAGATGACAAAGGATCGTACTCCACTGCCCCATACACTGCTCGAGGAAGTCTCTAACTGTACAGTCTATCTTGTACAGCTCGAGGACTCTCTTTAGCCATGTATGGGGCACCGAGTCGAATGCCTTTCTGTAGTCTATCCAGGCGGCGGAGAAGTTCCGACGGTTGCGTTTCACCACTTTGCCAATGACCGCGTCAATGAGGAGTGGTTCCTTGGTTCCACGACCACCGCCCCGACATCCATTTTGAGCGCGCGACATCACCTGATTTGAGTCCAGGTGACAAGTGATTCTCGCGCTCAAAATGGATGTTAGTGTCTTGTATATGGTCGGTAGACACGTGATGGGGCGGTATTTGCTCGGGTCTGTGGTACCCTGGTCTTTAGGAACTAAATGAGTGATCCCAGTAGTGAAGAGGCTTGGGAGCGACTTCTGGTTGAGAGCCTCTTGAAACTGTCGGGCGAGCACAGAGTGACACACCATGAACCCCTTCAGCCAGTAGTGATGCAGCCCGTCAAGCCCCGGACTTTTCCAGTTCGGGGCCCTACGAACCGCCTCAGCTACGTCATCCGGCGTTATGATGACGGGGTCCATGGGCGTAATACCCGCACACTGACTCGCCACAACTTCCGTCCAAGGGCCCTCGCTGTGGTTTACGGGCTCTGACCGCAGGCCGCGCCAGAATGCTACAGTGTCGGCCTGATCCGGTGCTGGACCCGTTCCACTTACCATTGGTCGCTCCAATGATTCATAGAGCCTCTTCTGATCACTCTGGAAGAGACGATTCTGGTTGAACCGTGTCGACCTCTCGGTATATCGCCGAATCCGCTTTCCCCAAGCAGCGATTCTCTGCTTCAGATCATCTATGCGCTCCGTCAGTTTTTGCGTTATATCCGGCTGGGACAAACTGACATTTGTCCCAGCAAACGCCATCCTGACGGTGCGCACAATTCTTGGCCTGTTGTTGCCTGATCTGAAGCATATCAGTCTGCCGATGAGAGCTCTAGCCTTTGCGATACGTTCCTCAATTCTTCTTCTCCATGCTGGGATAGCGCTACTATGGCCAGTAGCGCGTCCAGCCGTGGAAACCTTGGCGCCTATGATACGGCAGACTGCCAGCGCGGCGCCAAAAAGAATTGAGTCCGTCTCGCAAAGGTCCCGGCTGGCTTCCAAATAGGTAACCAGCATTGGGTTCAGAGCCCTCACGACAGCCCGATTCCGCTTGCTTAGGGCTATGCGGGGAAGTCGCGGTCGATTTTCGAGAGGCGTACTGCGCGTTTCCACAATCGCCTCTTCCAATATACTCCTCATATGCTCTAATTCCAGTTCCTGGGCGACTGTTCCATCATCGTTTGAATCAACCACAACTGGGGTATTCACGGCGGCATCCACGTTTGCGGGTTGTTCTACCATTTGTGGCGCCGCATCCTCAGCCGTAGCATTCTCATCCGACGAGGGAACAGCCTCACGTCGTAGCCGTTCGAGTTCGGCGACATCAAATATATTTGAGCGCAAGATATACCGAACTCGGTCTGCCAGGTTTTGCTCTGTGACGATTAAAGATGGCTCCAGCTCAGCAAAAAGACGATGCATCCTAGCCCGATACGCCAAACATCCAGTTTCTTCCCCCTTTGGCCCTAAAGTACGCCCGCAGTGCGTTTGCATTCATTTCTTGTGACCAACGCATGCGACGTGCTCCACCAGCGGCGGGTGCCGCTTGCTGAGTCCGAGAAGACCCAGCCGACACCAAGCCTTCTGGTGGGGATGATGGATGCGGAGGGCTGGTAGATGACCGTGCAGCTCCTCACGCTCGGCTGGCGGCCCGCATGCTGCCGCGTCCAGCGCCAGCTCCAGACGCGCCCCGGCGACCCCCAGGCAGCGGCCCTTTGCGCACTATCTTTTTATCCATCATCCATTATTTGGGCGTCCATTAACGGGAGACGCCCAGGCCCGGCACCGTTTCGTGTGTAGCCATAAGCACAAACGGGCCTCTGCACCCTAAATTCTGCCGCGGCACGGCGCTCACACCTCTCGCAAGGCGCTGACTGACTGCGTTGACGTAGCGGTTTTGTCACATAACCGTCACGTCAACGGGCGATGGGGTCGTCACTTCCCTACGCCATTTATTATTATTGTTATTATAATATTAATTGGTACAGCATATCGACCACAATGGGTCAATGTGGATAATTTTCTTGATTCTCTCACCGACACTTTAACTTCACAATCCAACTTTGATTATTTTATATTATTACGCGATTTTAACATTAACATTTTGGATACTAATGACAGTAAGACTCTTCGTCTTAAACAATTTTTGACCTATACTAATTCAAGTAACTGTATTTCAGAACCTACACACTTCACACGAGACAGTGCAACGTTAATTGATTTAATTATCACGGATGCACGTGTTACAAATACATTTGTTAAACATACACCAGAATTAGGAGGGCACGCTTTTGTTTTGGTTGACTTCCATTAAAAAAAACCTAAGATAGCACCAATACAACAAATTATAAGACCTATTAAAAGTTCAATATGCTTGCTTTTCTATCAGATCTCGAAGCTATAAATTGGGATACTATCATAGGGTTTAGCTGTGTCGATCAAATGGTATCTGAGTTTTCCAAAAAAATTTTAGAATTATTTGATAAGCATGCTACTGAGAAATTAGTAACGTTTAAAAAAAGACAACTGCCATGGTTCACTAGTAATTCGGTACATGATGCAACTGCGTGACAGCGCTCATAATAAGTATCGACAAATAAAAGCTGAAAGTGATAAAACTCATTACAAATCTCTTAAAATACTAGTTAATAGTTGTCTTAATACTGAGAAGGAAGCATATTTTGACTATCATATTAATCAGAACCTACATAAAGCAAACATTTTGTAGAAACTCTTGAAATCGGTTTCATTACCTTCATTTAAAAATTCTAACAATTTACCAGACCATTTTAATGATCCTGATAAAAATAACCACCACTTTCTTAATATTCCGGACATAAGCAATACTGGTTCGTTTTATTCTAAATTCTTTAAAAGTTCTAAATATAACTCAAACACATTAAAGTTAGTTCCAGTCCATGAAAGCGTAGTTGCAAAAGTTATTATGGCTATCAAGTCGAACGCACACGGGGTTGATCGAATTAGTACGGGTACGAATTAGTATGGAAATGATACTTTTGACACTACCACAGACATTAAAGGTTATAACAGCAATAATTAATAGGTCTATCACAGAACAAATTTTTCCTCCTCAGTGGAAACCGCACTAATTCGTCCCGTACCAAAAAAAGAAAACGCAGTTGATTTAAGCGACCTAAGGCCTATTAGTATTTTACCATATTTATCAAAACTATTGGAAAAAGTTGTACACTTTCAAATAGTATACTTTTGTGAACTAAATAAAATACTACCTAAGTAACAATCAGGGTTTAGGAAGAGTCATGGAACAGCTACAGCCCTTATAAATGTCGTAGATGACGTGCTGTCTTTTTCGGATTCTGGCAAAGGCACGATCCTTACTCTCTTAGATTTTTCAAAAGCATTCGATTCGATAAATACGGATTTGTTAATAGATAAACTATCATATTACGGTTTTGATAACGGGGCATTGGTGTGGTTTAAGAGTTATCTCAATAATCGTCTACAACAAGTTATAATTAACAGGAATGATGGCGAAAGCTATGTTTCCCAACTTCTTCCTGTCAATAAAGGTGTCCCTCAAGGATCTATTTTGGGCCCTTTGCTTTTTATCATTTACAGTTCCGATATAACAGCATGTCTTGAAAATTGCAAATACCATATTTATGCTGATGACCTACAGGTGTATATTAGTGTAGATAGTAAAAATGTAAATACAGCGGTAGATAAGTTAAATGAGGATCTTCAACGCATTAGTTCTTGGTCACAAAATAACTCCATGCTCCTTAATCCAACAAAATCTAAGTTTATTATTATAGGTACAAAAAGCAGGTAAAGTACATAACTTCTACTGATCCTAACGTACGTATTGATGGGGAAAACATTGAACGAGTTTTTGGAGTACGAAATCTTGGGGTTCTTATGGACAGTTATTTAAGGTTTGAAAATCATGTAATTAATGTGGTAAAAAGTTGTTTTTTCCGATTAAAATTTTTATATTCAATCAGGCAGTTTATCACTGTAGACTTACGCGTTAAATTATGTGTAACCTTAGTTCTGTCAAAACTAAATTATTGTATAATTTGTATGGACCTTGTCTATTTAAAAAAATCTAAAAATTTAATTCAAAGGGTACAAAATGCTTGCGCTCGTTACTGTTTTTACATCCCAAGACGAACACATGTTATACCTTACCTTAATGCCTCTAATATGCTTAAAATGCACGAACGTCTCAAATTATTTTATGCCTTCCTGCTATTTGGAGTGATAAAAACAAAAAACCAGAATACCCATATGAAAAGCTTCAGTGGAGACAAAATCAACGTATGTACTGTATCCGAAAGTGTGCAAAAATACTTTGCATACCTCAACATAGGACATCAGCATTTCGTGGTAGTTACAAATTTATGGCCACAAAATGTTGGAATGATCTTCCACCACCATTACGAGTCATAACAAATAAGAACAGTTTTAAGAGAAAATACAAAGAGTATTTATTAAGTACGCAGAAAATGTCATAAATATAAAAAAAATATCGGCAGGGGCTTAATATCCCATATTTAGTTATATGCAATTATGTAACATACATTTACTACCAATATTCTTTTTAATAACCATTACGTTGTTCTAGCATAATTATTATAATTAGTCTGAATAAATAAAACACTACTGTAGCTCTTACTTTTAATATTATTATTTTTTCATGTTTATGTTTATATTTTGTTTATATTATGTTTATCTCTTGTACATGTATATTAATTATCAATTTATTAATAGAAATATTATGATAACTTGTACTGGTTAATTATATAGTTCTTGTACTGGCTGAATGAATAAATAAATAATTTAACACTAAAAGCTATTTGTAATATAATCAGTGATGTACGCGTACTGTTATACTCTAGCTCACTAAGTAGGTATATGGGTGCTGACAGAATAACAGCGTTATAGATTCTCTGCAACACATGCTGAGTCAGAACCCTTTCATTGTCCTTCTAAAAATATAATTTTTGTATTAGCTTAACTTTTAAATATTTTATTACTTTTGGTCAATGAATAAATATTTTATTATTATTATTATGTGTGGGGTATCTATATAGTTTTCTCATCTGGTTGGGTTCTATAAATATATAATTATAAATTAAAATGAAAAGATAAATAAAATACATAAATATAATTAAAATAAAATAAATACAAAAATACATAAATAAATAAAAGCCCAACCAGATGGAGGCCCTCGGCAGGGGAGACCAAACGGCCGAGGGTTACGGGGAAAGGGAAAGAAACCGGCGGACAATGCGGGCGGTATCGAGTAAGCACCGCCTTCTGCATTTGAGCCCGGAGCAGCCCGTCACGGAGTCCCAGTCGCCTCAGATGACCCGAGAGGCTAACTGGGATTAGCCCATTTGCAGAGACGACTACATGTATAATTTCGGTCGAGCCAACCACCCCACATGTCGGTCACCTCGTGAGCCAGGTCCAGATATTTTGTTCGCTTATCTGTTTCGGCTTTCACGAGGTTCTCGTCATACGGAATGGTAATGTCGACCAAAAATATCCTTGACTGGCCCGGTCCATCAGCACTACAGGCTTATTCGCAAGAATAGTCTTGTGGGGCCCGGTCCCAGTAGAGCCTGGCGCGGTCATTTTCGAGCACGGCTTCCGGCAAGTACTTGTAATACGGCAATTTCCGGTCCACGAGACCGTATTTCAGAGCGAGCTCCTGGTGTAGAATTCTGGCTACTAGGTTGTGCCTGTGCAAGTACTCAGAGTTAGAAAGCGCCGAACAGCCGGAGATGACATGCCTAAGTGACTCACAGGGACGGCGACAAGCCCGACATATGTCGATGGTGCCATCTTTTAGGGTGTATCTCCGATAGTTGTTGGTCTTAATAATCTGATCCTGTATCACACAGACAAAACCCTCGGTTTCCCCGAAGAGGTCACCGAAACGTAGCCAGTTGAGGGAGGCGACTGTATCTACAAAGGGCTCATGTAAAGCCCTGTAGTTACTCCCGTGGAGCTCCTTCTCCTTCCATACGGTCTCTCGGTCGAAAATGCTAAGCACTGCTGGGTCCTGCCACTGCTCGTTGGCTAAGGATAGAGGGGTAAGCCCTTTATCACTAGAAATGACGTCATTACAGAATGGATCATCCGATCTCGCCAGGAAGTAATGACGGAGGCTGCACACTTCGCGATTATGCATGGTGAGCGCGCTCAGAAAACCACGCCCACCATGCTTTCTCGGCAAGTACAGCCTCATTACCAACGATCTCGGATGATGCATCCTATGGGACGTCATAGTAATGCGGACTTTTCTATCCAAGGCGTTAAGTTCGGTCTGAGTCCACCTGAGTATGCCAAAGGTATACATGAGGACAGGCATGACCCAACCGTTATATGCGTGTGTCTTATTCACACCGGACAAAAGGCTGTTAAGCACT